TCTGGAGTGAATTTTAAAATATGTGAATTATATCACAAACAAATCCTTTGACAGTAAATAGAACATAAAACACTTTATCATCAGAAACCTATTGAAAGTAGAAACACCACAGTAAATAATGTTTATTAGTAAAAATACTTAAAGCCCATTAATCTCAGCCTGCTCCAGAGGCTGGGGCAGGATTCCTTGAGCCCAGGAGTTCAAGGCCAGCCTCAGCAACATAGCAAGACCTCACCTCTTAAAAAAAAGTTAACAATTATGGGCCCCAACTAAATGCATACTAACTCTGTTTGATCCTTCCAACAATCAAATGAGGTACAGAATATTATTCCCATTTTACTGGTGAGGAAATTAAATTCTAGAAAGATTGTATAACGTATACAAGATCCCACATCTAGTAAATAGTAGAGCTGGGATTCAGAACAAAGTATGAATACACTCTTTTTAAAAACTCAGATTTAGGGGCTGGGGATTTAGCTCAGTGGCACAGCACCTGCTTGGCAAGTGCAAGGTTGTGAGTTCGATTCCCGGTACCGGAAAAAAAAATTAAAAACAAAAAACAAAGAACAACTCAGATTTAACAGCCAAGCATGGTGGTGCACACCTGTAATCCCAGCTCTTGGGAGGCTGAGGCAGGAGGATCCTTGCGAGTTTGAGGCCAGCCTGAGCTACAAAGTGAGTTCAAAGGCCAGCCTGAGCTTCATAGTGAGACCCTGTCTCAAAAAAACAACAACAAAAAAAAACCCAGAAAAACATGAACAAACCTAAAAAGCACCCCAGAAAAACAAAAAAATCCCCAGATTTATTAGGCAAGGCATGGTATTCCACACCTGTAATCCCAGCTACTCTGGAGGTTGAGGCAGGAGGATGGCGGGTTCTAGGCCAACCTGGACAATATAGTAGGAGCCCATCTCAAAAAAATAAGATTTAAAAAAAAATCAGATGGGCCTGGGATATAGTTCAGCGGTGTAAGTGCCTGCCTGGCAAGCTCAAGGTCATGAGTTCGATTCCTGGTACCAAAAAAAAAAAAAACAGATGTTTTATATTTGGATATAAAAATCAGATAATTTATATTTTATAAGATTCACTCATTGTAAGTGTAGGATTCAGTGAGTTTTAGTAAATTTACAGATATGTGCAACCATCCCCATAATCCAGATTATAAACATTTCCTTCACACCAAAGAGATACCTGGTGTCTATTTGGCGGGAGGGTTGAAACAGGTTCTTGCTATGTAGTTCAGACTGGCCTTAAACTCACTATGTAGCCCAGGCTGGCGTCAAACTTGAGGTGATCCTCCTGCCTCAGCCTCCTAAATGCTGGGATTACAGGCATGCATTACCACACTGGGCTCCTGGTGTGTGTTTTCAATTAATCACTGTTCCCATCTCCAGCCCCAGAAATTACTGATGGACTCCCGGTCTCTTAAAACGTTTCCTTTTTTCTAAACATTTCATTTAAATAGAGTCACAATCTGTGATGTTTTGCATATGGCTTCTTGCACTTAGTGTAATGGTTTTGAAGTTCATCCTTGTGTCATGTATTGGCTCCTTCCTTCTTATTGTTAAATACAGTTGCATATCACATTTTGTTGACCTATTCACCCACTAATAGATTCTTGGATTGTTTCTACTTTTTGGGTATTGTGAATAATGCTGCTGCTAATGAACATTTGTGTATGAGTTTTCATGACAACATGTTTTCTTTTTTGTCTTTTTGAGACAGGGTCTCGCTATGCAGTTCAGGCTGGCCTTGAACTCACTTTGTAGCCCAGGCTGATCTCAAACTCACAAGATCTTCCTGCCTCGGCCTTGAACTCACTTTGTAGCCCAGGCTGATCTCAAACTCACAAGATCTTCCTGCCTCGGCCTTGAACTCACTTTGTAGCCCAGGTTGATCTCAAACTCACAAGATCTTCCTGCCTCAGCCTCCTGAGTGCTGGGATTACAGGCGTGTGCCACCAGGCCCAGCCTATGACAACATATTTTCATGTTGATACATATTTAGTGTAATTACTTAGTCCTATTGTAAATCTATGTTTAATATTTTGAGATACATTTAAACTGTTTCCTCAGATTACAGGTGTGCGCCATCACGCCTGATTGCTTTGCTGGCAATATTGAAAGTTTCCTTTTGTTGTTTGTGTAAATATAATTTCTATCAAGTGTCATGAAATATTTTTGTGTGTGATCCTGTGGACTGAACCCAGGGAGCACTGAGTTACACCCCCAGCTGCTTAAATCTGAGACAAGTTCTTGGTAAATTGCCCAGGCTGGCTTCAAATTTGTGATCCTCCTACCTCAGCCTCCCTACCAGCTGGGATTACAGAAATGAGCCACCATGCCCAGCTTACTTTTAAATTTACTTTATTACAAATATCTCAGTGTTGGTTAACTAACTTTTACCTGGACCATTACTGATCAAGCAGATAAATTCAACAGCCATTTGGAAAAAAAAAAATAAAATAAATTCCTCAAAAGGCTTCACCATTTTATATTCCCTCCCGTAAGGTGTGAGGGCTCCAGTTTCACCGCATCCTTTTTTTTTTTTTTTTTTTTTTTTTTTTGGTACCGGGAATCAGACTCACAACCTCGCATTTTCCAGGCAGGTGTTGTGCCGCTGAGCTAAACCTCCAGCCCCTCACCGTATCCTTGAAGCCCTTTGTAGTTGGCTTTTATTAGAGCCCTTCCAGTGCCTGTGCTGCAATTTGCATTGCCCTAATGCTAATTGGTGCAGAGGGTCTTTATCTAACTCGGGATGGGCTCAGAAACCACGCCCTGGCCTAGGTGTCTTTTCCTGGATTTACTGGCCATGGCTATCTCTTCTTTGGTACAACATCTATTCCCATAGGTTGGTCATCTTTTCATTGTCTTTTTATTTTATTTTATTTTATTTTTTGTCTTTTTGAGACAGGGTCTCGCTGTGCAGTTCAGGCTGGCCTTGAGCTCACTTTGGAAGGCAGCTATGTTCACCACTATAGCAC